CAGTTTTTATCAATCATGAAGCATTTTTGCTTTTCCTATCTGAAATCCCTTAATTTTCGTATGTTGTTCCTGTATGTTGTGGTTACTTATCTTCATTGAAAGTGATAATAGATGCTATATGTAACGTGGAGTTGAACTTAGAACTGGAAGATAAGGAGGGTAAACACGAGTTTGAACTGGATATTTAGGTGTTTCTCATATAACAGTTTATAAGGACTATTTTTTAGTGTTGATGTCATCTAGTTAGTATACATTAGGATCTTGTACCTCAATCTAGGTTCAAATCTCATCTTAAGCTGGAGCACCATCATCTGTTTTGCTAATTTTTATTAAAGAAAGCATGTTGTTCATTCTTTAATGTTGTTTAGATCAGGTTTCAGCGAGCACAAATTTAACAGAAGTAATTTATTTATTTATTTATTTTAAATTGTAGGAAATTCTTTATAATGAGATGGAACAAGCGGATGCATATGAAAACGACTTCATTGAATATGAAGATGGAAATGCAGCAGAGGCTAGGAAGGGATCCCTGGAGATGGTGACTTTGGCTGATGTGGAACCCTTGGATGTCAATCCCCCGAATAATGCTGGTACTGTGAGTGACGATGAGGCTGATCTCAATTTTCTCGATGATGATTTGAGTGAGTAGCTGAGTTATGTGGCTCAACTAACATGGATGAAGTACTGAAATATGAATAATGCTTTTTACAGTTATTGGATTGTAGAGTGGGGGAGGGGGTTGAATTTGCTAGGCAGCAATTCTAATTCTGTAATTTTTTATTATCTGTTTATCTGTTTGTTGGTTTCACGTAAATTGGTTAAGCTTTCTATTTCTTTTTCCTTCTGTTCTTTTGCATGAACATGTTAATCAGTATAGCTGAGTCCTTTCATAGCCTTCCAAGCTTGAACAATTAAAGTTATTTAACCAATGTTGTTTTGAACTGCTGTAATATAGCAAGTACATGCTCTGGGCATGCAAGAGAATTGGGATGGAACATGCCATTGTAGGGTAAAGAGCAACTGGTAAATTTTTACCACGTTGAGTTTCATGTTACCATATATATATGTATATATATATATATATAATATACTTTAAATTTCAGTTCTCAATGCGTTGAAATGATACTTCTGCCCTCAAAAGGCTACACTGCTCCTGTCTTCCCCCATATCCCGAGAAAAAAATTCCTTGCTGCTACTTCTTTTAACACTTCTGTGGTATAGTTTACTGTGATTTGACTTTAAATTTCAAAGTTTATTTTTACTTTTATTTTTTGAAACAGTAGTTTCTTTTTTGTTTTCGTGAAATCTTTTAAGGGTATGTGTATGCTCCATTCATTTGGTTGGATAATAGGTGGTGGAGTGGAAGAAAGGGAGGATAAATAGTATTTGGGATAAAGAAAAGTGCAAGGAAAAGAAGAAATATTTTAATTTGATGTATAGTATAGCAAAAATGATATCTAATTAATTGAAATTTACTTTCTTTTTTTAGTTGGAAAGGGAGGTAAAAGTGGCGATTATAAACTCTCTTTCACTTCCTGTCCAAATATGAAAACAAACAAAAGATGGAATAAAGAAAGTACTATTTTGAGTAATGTTACATCCTTGCACGTATATGGGCAGCGAAAGTGTTGCTCTCTCAAGTTTTTGTTTTTGACAAAAAAGACCCAACAGTACCTACCAAGTAATTGTTGTTGTGTCATATATCATAGGGGAGTGAAGAGGCAGATTAATCATATCAGACAGTCCAGTAATGTAGTGCCGGAGCCAGGGTTTTGGCTTATTGGCCCGAGTATGTTATATATGTTTCACTAGTAATTGGTTTCACTCCCAATCATTTGGGAATTACAGCGGATAACTGACAATGCACGCTTCACTCATTATCCCAATCACTTATTTGAGGACACTAATAACATTGTATTCAATCTAGCAAACAAATTTAGTCATTTCCTCCTAGCTGCCTTTATATTAACATTGTGGGTGTTCATCTAATAAGCTCAACTAATCCAACACCATGATCAATGTCTTGTTGCCAGTGGTATACACATCATCAGATCAATCATCCACCTCTTCCTCCCGACCTGTTTCTAACCAATGACCCCCTCATCATCCATATTTTCACAGCGAGGTGAGGTCAATATCACATACATCATACCCCACCACAGGATCAAGGTCGGGGATTTTTCTTTTTGAGTGGCATTCAAACAATGGTATTAACATTGGAAGTAGAAATTGTAATGACGCTCTTGCCCCTATGTGTGAGAGAGAGAGAGAGATTGATGGCCACTTCACATTTCACACCAGTATGTGAAACAAAGAAGAACACAAAATATATGACCAGGAAACTGGCTGAACTTAAAGGACAATTATGAATTGACAATTGTTCCTTAAACAATGGGTGCAAAATTTTCCCTCATTTACCTATTTACACAATGTTGGTTTAAGATACCCTCTATGAATGTTCTAGTTTGTAGCCACAGCCTTGGTTCATGGCAGAGGTTCTTGTGAATCTCCCAAGCGAGACAAATGAAGATATGCATCTGTCCCTGTCAGAACAAAGTGCATGCATCTATGTCAGCAATGTTGGCGAGGAATCAAAATAGTAAAACAACAGAGTGAAACTTATATCCACGAGGTACACACACTAATGAAAAATCAGAACCATGGAGTTGAAATATGACAAACATTAATATGCATACGAATAAAAGCCTAATGTGGCCTATGATAACATATCTACAGGGTAAGCTCTAGAACCAGCGGAATTGTCCAATCCTTGCCATTTTTACACCCTCAATTTTATGTATTTGATCCTTACTCAATTCCTAGATTTGACCCAAGAATAGTGTCATTTTTATTCAATGTAGCCCAGAATTCCCACCTTGTTCCATGGAGCATCTATTTCAAGGACAGTTCATGAAAGACAATCAGAAGGAAAACAGAGTTCTAAACAAAATTTGATATCCTTTAGAGGGAAAATTGGCCATATGTACATCCTTTATGCTCAGTTGGGCTCCAAAGAAAATCAAGAAGAAACAAAAATTTTGAAATCCTAAGATGTTCATTCCAACCCTGACTAGTATTAACATTCCTATTTATCTTTCCTTTTCTACCATCATCTTTCTAGCACAAATACCCGAGACTTGATTTGAGAATAAAAAAGGTAGCAATATAGCTATTTGCCTACTATATCAACTAAACACTGTAACTTTAAGTTTGGATGTCCAATAACAAGCATTTTGTGGTAAACTCAAAACAACAGGACAACAACAGTCATGGAGGCACATTATATGGGCACAATGCTGATTTTGATACATTTAGGGATCCGTGCATTTATGTACAGTGCAACACAGTGCAACAATTAACTTACCATATCCTTCCATGGAGATGGTTTGCAGATCCCCTCCAAAATATCTTGCATATAAGCGGCTTATTGGAATCCCATATCCATAACCAGCCATTGTTGCCACATTGGCTGTTCCAAGTTCTGACCGCTCATCCATGGGATTTTTGGCAGTACTGTAAAGATATGTAAAAATTTTTGGGAGACCACTTCTTGGTATTCCCCCTCCTTCATCTGAGACCTAGAATCAAAACAGACCACAGTTGTTGAGAAAATATTAAGATTAGTAAAAACAAGTGCAACTAAGAAGCTTCTTGGTAATACTATGCGTTTCTGATCAAGTTCATGAAACAAACATTGGGAAAAGAACAGAATTTTCTAATGACATAACATTCAGGTTTATGTTAAACAAAAAAAAAAAAAAACATGCCTTGATGGTAACATCCTCTATTCCATCAGCGACTATTAGTCGAATAGGAGGTGCAACTTTGTCTGAGTCCATAAACCGCTCCTCGACAGCACGCAAGGAGTTCTTAACCAACTCAAAAACCATCATATGTAAATGTATTGGAACATACCTGTTATGAAAGCAAATAAAGTTAATGTAGAGCATAAAAGAAAACAGAGAAGAACAAAGTCTTACTTGGAATTTCATTATTTTGGACAAACAATGTATACACTAATTTAGGAGGTCAACACAGCAATTTTGTTTATTTAAAATGATTATATTAAAGACAAACACCTCAGAAAAACATTTTCCTGGTTTATGGCAAGAATAAGAAGTTTAAAGGAATAAGAACAAGAATAAGAAGAAAATCACCTAACAAATAAAGGAATGATAAACTAATTAATTAATTAGAAGGAAAATAGCTTACGGGAATGTAAAACTAGGATCCCCGTAAATATTAACGTCAGGTGCACTACCATATTCTCGCAAACAAATTGCACGGGCATCCTCACTGGCACATCTTGCTACCTCCACAGGAGACATTTTTGTATGTATATAACCCACACAATCAGGGGGAGGGTTGGTATCATGCAATGCCACATGCTGACCTGAGTTGCAATCAAATTTGAAGTGCATATATCATGTTAGTATCCTTCTTCAGTAATGCTAGCAAAATTGATTACGACAAATAAATATAATTCCCCCACCCCCCCCCAAAAAAAAAAAAAAAAAAAAAAAGGAAAAGAAAAAGAAAAGAAGAGGTCAATTGAGCATCTCCAATGGTTGGTGCAAAATGGCAATGGTAAACCCAAATTTTGAGTAGTACCAGAATGTCATAATTTGACAATATCGCTCCAATAATTCAAATGTTCTTGCATCTACTTTTTTTTTATAAAAACAAAAAGTCAAATATAAATGTCATTTGTGGGTCTCATCATGAGAGAGATAAATACCAAGTTTTGGCAATTTGCTGAATTTTGTGCCAAATTTTGCACAAAATTTTGAATGTTAGATAGCACGCCATTGGAGATGTGAATTTGGAAGATTTTTTTACCAAATTTTGGCTTTGGCATGGAGGATAGCATACCATTGGAGACATATCAAATGCAGTAAGTGGAAGTAAGCAAGATGGGGCTAACCAATAAGCATACGAATCCCGATTCTTGACATGTAGAAGCGATCCAGGAACTGCTGGATCTCATCCAGATCCTCATAATCAATCTTCGGATCCAGGCTTTTCTTCAGCTGTTGAACCCCCAAAGCCATTGTGGGAACAACATTATTGTGTCTCACCTTAATCATCTTAAGCATTTGAGTGAATTCCAGCTCATCGTTTGTGTCCTTGATCTCAGGAAAGGACCTAAGGTCACGGAAAGAATCTAGATACCAATCTCGCACCTAAAACATAAAAAATTATTTATATATATACCGCGTACTTGGCTCAAATAATGAAAATCAATTCTAAACCATTCTATTTACTTACACACATTAATCCGAACAACTACAAAACACTACATTAGCAACCAAGACGGCAGCAACGAAATGATATCCTAAGCACTAATAATTCACCATCGAATCCTTGTCAGTGACCTAGTAACACTTGAAAGCCTAAAAGGAAAGCTCAACCTAATAAATAACTAAACAAACATACATAAACACCCATTTTGAGAATATTCAAAGCCACAGTCAAGGCCAAAATTTGATGGGTCGTTACACACACAAAAAATAAACACTAAATTATACCAAATTCCTTAGATTAATGGTAAGTCCAGGTATCGATCCACAGGAATAAATGTGAAATTAAACTAACTTATGGGTTGTTTAGGGTGTCCTAAATAAGTGTACTTTTTGTCTTTTTATATATATACCGCGTACTTGGCTCAAATAATGAAATCAATTCTAAACCATTCTATTTACTTACACACATTAATCCGCACAACTACAAAACACTACATTAGCAACCAAGACGGCAGCAACGAAATGATATCCTAAGCACTAATAATTCACCATCGAATCCTTGTTAGTGACCTAGTAACACTTGAAAGCCTAAAGGGAAAGCTCAACCTAATAAATAACTAAACAAACATACATAAACACCCATTTTGAGAATATTCAAAGCCACAGTCAAGGCCAAAATTTGACGGGTCGTTACACACACAAAAAATAAACACTAAATTATACCAAATTCCTTAGATTAATGGTAAGTCCGGTATCGATCCATAGGAATAAATGTGAAATTAAACTAACTTAGGGGTTGTTTAGGGTGTCCTAAATAAGTGTACTTTTTGTCTTTTTAGATTGAAAAATTGAGGAAAAAAATATGGATGTTCGGGTTAACTTTTTGACTTTTTATGGAAAAATGTGTAATAAAAAATTATAAAAATTGATTTGTAGGAAAAAATTATGATTGGAATTTGTGTAGCCGTAATTGTTGACTTTTAATGAATAGTGTTAACTTTTTAACTTTTTAGCTTTTTGACTTTTTTACAATATGCCAAACTTGACCTTAATTGCTAAATTCATAAATTAATTCTGATCAAAGAGATGATTTTTTATAAACTAATGATAATTGAAATACTAACAAATTAAATGAGATATTAAAAATGAAATTGGGATTACTAATTTTGGAAAAACGTAATGAATTCACCGCTAGCTACATAAATAAGGTTTTAATTTGAAAATCAATTATGGTACGGCTCGAACCAAATAATATTTGGTAATTACAAGTTCAATACATTGATCAAGAGAATTTTCATATTCAAGGTATGAGACGATACCTAAATTAGCACAAATTTATAATTTCCAGAGTCAATAGAAAAGATGAAATATTGTTAATATGTATACAACAACTTAACCAACTACTTGGTAAGAATTTCAAAGATATGAAATCATCACATCCACACATATGTGAATTTATATATATATATATATATATATGTACACACACATCCGGATCTTCACGCATGTTGTAAAATATTCGAAAAACGCAGGTAGAATGCAAGATTAATTTAAAAAAAACAAAAAACAAAAAACAAATTATTAGTTTAAATATTGTAACATGTAAGGTTGAGATTCTGTAAGTACCAACTAATCAAAAGCATTAAAAAAATAAAATAAAATAATAATAATAATAAAAAGATGTCATAAATAAACGGATAAAAAAAGAAAAAAAAAGAAAAGAGTCTTTTTCCTCTCCGATTGATAAACAAACTTGCGATTAGTTAAATAAAAATTCACAGGACAATTCCCATCCATATAAAAATTATAATATTCCATAGTAGTACTAAGAATGAACCCCAAAATTTATTTTTATTATTATTATTTAGAAATGAAGGTAGAAATAAGAAAAAAATAAAGTAAAAAGAAGACCTGGAGAACAGCAGGCTTTAGGGATAAGCCAAAAGGGAGGGAGTGGAGGTCCATGGCTCTGCGAGCAAGCCTAATAGGGAGCTGGTTATGAAGGAATTGAGCAGAAATGAGCAAATTGCGGTGGGTGGGTGTGGACCCGAACTCCATCATGTACCTGAGGCTCACCCCCTTGGGCTTCATACCACTCCATCGCTGCACCTCTTCCATCAGCTTCTTCGACGACCACGACGACGTCGTCTCGCACACCTTCTTCGCCGCCATTAATACCCCACCAACAAATTGCAAGTAACATGCAACCGGACCACACAAACAAAACCCAATTTCACATATATATGTATTATGAAAAATCAGAGAGAGAGAGAGAGACAGAGAGAGCGCGCGCAATGTGAAATGTATATGTATGTATATATCTTTCGTGTAGAGACACACAGACAGACAGACAGAGAGACAGCGATAGAGGAAAAAAACAAGTGGATTACGCAAACTAGGGTACGCGTATTAGGCAGAGCCATATAGCTGGTGGCTGTAAATGGTCGAGAGACTTGAGGAGGAGGAGGACAGCCCACAGTTTCCTTTTTGGTTCAGGCTTCTGTCACGTGCGATGCTGACTCACAAGTTATTTGATAGTGCGGCTGCGCCCTATTTTGGGAAGTAGTTAAAATCATCTGTCAGTTTTTAATTTACTTCCTCCCTCGTAAAAAAAGAAAAATCAAAAAATATTTTTAAAAAATCAAAAAATAATTTTAATTATTTTTTGAAAATACACTTGAACCACTCCCATATTCTTATCCTTTATATTTTATTTTAAAACTCTATTCTAAGTTTATAATAATAATTTAAATTATCTCATAGTGAAAATTATTTATACAAATAATTAATTTCGTTGAATATTGACAAATATATAAATAAATTATTTTTGATTTTATATAATAAAATGTTTAAGTTTAAATTTATAATTACAGTTCATTTTGAAAAATAAGATACAATTTATTCACATATATAATGATATCTATTAATTTTTTCATAACTCATCTAAATTATTGAGATTATGAAATGAACGGCTTAAATTATCATTGTAAACCTAGAATGAAATCTAGAAAATAAAATATGAGAATCATATCCTATCAAGACATGGTTATATGGGGTTTAAATATTTTGTTTGATTAACTTTTTAATTTATTTTATCTTTTATTAGAATAAGTTTCAACCATATTACTAGATGAGAACTTTATTTTTAAATTTTTTATAAAAAAATATGTAAATTTTTTTTTTAAAAAAAAAATATGACAATTTTTAAACTAAAAAAATCCATAAACAAAGTTTTTGCAAAATCTGAAATCGTTGAGATTGTTTTGAGATATTGACATGTGATGTCAATCAATAGCCCGTGTGACATGGAATACTTGGAACAATTCACATTTAAAAGGACAAGAGATATACATCAGAGAATTTTTGCGTTCATCCGCCGATATTATTATTTAATTATTTATTCTGTCTCTCTTAAATTATTATTATGAAAAATTATTCATAAATCCTATCCTGAAAAAAAGTTAAATCATTTAGTTCTATAAATTTTTCTGTATATCATTTAATCCTAATGTATTGCCAGATTTTTTAGGATGTGATTTGATTCATTTATTTTTATATCAATACCCTTTTGAGGGTGTGATTTCTCTCTCTCACTATGCAACTATTCATCAATGGCGAAAGAGAGAGAAGATGTTTGTTAGAGGCCGACTTCGAACAGTTTGAGTAGCATTGAGGAGTCTTTCAGTGGGCCCAAGCCGCCGCAGACAGCGGTTGCTCCGTCGTCTGTGTCCCGACAAGCACCTCTTCGAGAGGTGTGCAAGCATCTCGGAAAGAGCCGATCGGCTGCGTCGGCCGTCAGAATCATACTGCCGATAGCTTCCAGAAGAGACGATTCGCTTCTCGAACAACACGATGGGATCCAAAGCGCCATTCTTCACTGCAAGAGATCATATAACTCATCCAGATCCAGAGGTAAATAGGACTAGTCATATTCAATTTACACACTAAATCCTCAATTATTAATTAATTCAAATCTTAATCTGTTTCTCTTGAATTTTGGTTCGCATATTTCTCTGTTGTGTCACGAACCGTAAGCAAACCTTGCCACGAGATCTCAGTTATCAATCCATCTAGAAATTCCACAGAGGAAATGGGAGTCTGAAGAACAATGTTTTGATGTTCAATGTTTGACGTTCGATTAGGCCCTGATGTTTTGATGTTTGATAGTGGAGATATTCAATGTTTGAAGAACAATGTTTGATGTTCGATTCGGCACTGAAATTCAATTTTTTTTGTTGATGTTGTTGGACCGGAATGTTTGATGTTCATACGTTGATGATTAATGTCGGTGATGTTTGAAGTTTGATGATGTTTTGTTAATGTTTGATGTTGTTGATGTTTTTGTTTGATGTATATGCCCTCTATGGTCAATTTCCAAAATTCAAATTTTTTGTTGACGTTGTTGGACCGGAATGTTGATGTTCACATGTTGATGATTAATGTTGTGATGTTTGATGTTTGATGATGTTTTTTTAAAGTTTGATGTTTTTTGATGATGTTTTGTTGATGTTTGATGTTGTTGATGTCCTTGGAGAAAAAACAAACATCTATAGAGTTTGGGGCATTTCAGTCAATACCACGTTGAGATTTTCCTCATTTACCCTTACTAAAAAGCGCAAAACATAGTGTAACACTGGTTATTTTGTCATTAACATTAGTTTGGGACTAATTGGATCATAAGATAAACTATAGGACCAAATGGATCATAAGATAAAGATTTGGGATTTATTGGTGCATCGCCCTTATTATTATCTTTAACTCATAAACGGATCACTTTTGAATGAAATGTATATCAAAATCTAATAATTATTATTAGAAAAATAATAATAATATGTATATGTCTATTTTTTAGACTTAATTTTTTTAAATTTAGTGATATATTAAGAAAATAATTAATTGATAATTAAAAAAATTAATTATTAATCAATTATCTTTCTAATGTATTACTGAATTTAGAGAATGGATCTAACTTTTAAGCCTTAGCCTTTGTTTGAAATGTAGATTGACTTTTTAAATTTTTAGCTATTTTAAGTTGGGGTTAAAAAAAAATTATTTATAATAAACTTTTTGATTTTTTTAATTTTTATGAGAAAAAAATAAAATAATTATAATTTAAATATGACATTTTGTTTTATTAATTTTTTAATTTATTTATTTTATCTTAAGATTGTTACTATTGTTTCGATCAGCACTGCATCAGTTGGTAGCAGAGCCTGCTACGTTCTTGCTTCATGCCTAGGAATCACAGTGATGCTCGAGAGGTTCTTGTGGAGGAGGAGGTAATAGATGATGATTCTAACCTGCTGAGTTTTCATAGTGAAAGACCAAGGAGAGATCATGCATTGAAAATTTATAAAGATCGCGTGAACCAAATTACTAAACATGATGATTTGATTAAATGGCCTTTTACATCAAAATTTATTCCAAATCCGATTGTGGATTGGAGTAAACCACCGATTTTTTATGATGACCCATTGGCTCAACTTTATCCCAGTTTTGCCGAGGAGGCAACCTCATTTTTCACCTTGAATTGGTCAAAATATGCGGAATTTCTTACTTTTCGCGGAGGATTAGATCCAGTAACTGGGGGTCTATGGTTGACCGATATTGCACACCATCATTTAGCTATTGCAATTCTTTTCCTGATAGCAGGTCACATGTATAGGACCAACTGGGGAATTGGTCATGGCTTAAAAGATATTTTAGAAGCTCATAAAGGTCCATTTACAGGCCAGGGCCATAAAGGCCTATATGAGATCCTAACAACGTCATGGCATGCTCAATTATCTCTTAACCTAGCTATGTTAGGCTCTTTAACCATTGTTGTAGCTCACCATATGTATTTTATGCCCCCTTATCCATATCTAGCTACTGACTACGGTACACAACTGTCATTGTTCACACATCACATGTGGATTGGTGGATTTCTCATAGTTGATGCTGCTGCGCATGCAGCCATTTTTATGGTAAGAGACTATGATCCAACTACTCGATACAACGATCTATTAGATCGTGTCCTTGGGATTTTTATTGATAAATCCCAGTTAGAAGTGTTTTAACCCAAAAAGTCCATGAATGAATTTTTTAATCCATTTAGTCTCATGTATATATAGTTTTATTCCATAAAGTCATTTTTCTTGATTTATACTATTTTCTTGGACACTTATGCCCTTATATTTAATTTTGATACCCTTATAAATATTTTTTGAACGGTTAGCAATTTTATGATGTGAACATTCATATTTTAAAATTCACATTGGTAGGAATGTAAAATTGGCCCGTGGGCAGCCAGAAACCCGCCCGCCAGCCGAGGCGGGCCCGGCCTGTTGACAATGTGAATATTCACATTGACATGTTAACATTTACATTGATAAGAGTGTAAAATTGGCCACGGCCCAGGGCGGGTCAAAAGTAGGATGGCGGATGGCATATAACCGGCTCAAACCGTACCCACTAGCACTCCTAAAGAAGAGTATGATGTCTCATTCATATGTGCCCTGATATAACAGTCATACAGTTATTCTTCATATAATCTTGTATTGAATATTGAATTTAATTTTTTTTTTTAAAAACAAACAACATAATAAATGTAATAGCATTAACATATAGTAATTGAATTTGTTTTTGTTTTTTCCTTTGGGTTTCAAAGATAACTGAATTTACATTAATTTTATACTGATCACAATTATGAAACAATTGAATAATAATTTTTTTAATTAAAATTCTCCGACAATCCAAAAAAAAAAATTCAAACCCCAAAAAACAACAAAAACCCGTGGGTGTATGTGGTGTCAGTGTGTTTGGAATGCATTTGGGAGGGCTGTGTAGCACGAGCATTGTAAGTAAGACCAAACCCACCCCTCCTAAAAAAAAAAAAATTTGAAAAGTTAAGGGGGGCACGTGACCCCTTTCGCCCCAACGTCCCTCCTCTACTGGGAGTTAGGACTTTGTCTGGACGAGGAGAATCAGCAATGAAGTAGCTAACTGGATAACTAATGCTTTTGCTAAGCAAACTCTTCTTGTAAGTTGGGTTGGTAGTCCTCCTTATGCTCTGCTTTACTGTCTTTGGATAGGGGTATAAATCTAGTTCAGCCCGGCTCGGCCCCGCCCATGTCAGGCCTTGCGGGTTCTTGCCAAAATTCGGGCAGGATTGGACCGGGCCGTGCCGTCCCATGGGCCAAAAAATTAAGCCCAGGCCTAGCCCTAGGACCAGGGGTATTCGGGCCTTGGGCGGGCATGACTAGTTTTTTTTTTTTTAATTTTTTCTACCAAAATTTTATTATTTTTCACAAAAAAAGACACTAGGTCTCGGCTCAAGCCGAGCCTCGGACTGAGCCTTGAATGGGCCTTAACCGAGCCAATGGGCCGGGCCAGGCTTCAAAGTGATGGCCCAGGCCTTAGCCTAGGGTCTCGAACTAGGCTCGAGCCTAGGCCCAAACGAGCCTTTCCCGAGCCGCGGGCGAGCTTCGAGCAGCTTACGTTCTTTTTTACTATTCTATTAAGTCCTATTTGAGGTAAGAAGACCAAAATACCATTTTCATCTGCTTATATTTTATTTAGTCCACATTATTTTCTTATGTTTCAATAAGTCTTATGGGAGACATAATTACCAAAATACCCATAATGTGAATGTTCACATCGTCAATGTGAATGTTCATATCATCAATGCGTAGAGGCCCAGGCTGGACCATATCGAGCCTCGTGGGTATCCGAAAAAATCTGGGCCGGCCCGGCCCACGGGCCAAAAAATTAGGCCCAGGCCCTAGCCCTGGCACAAGGGTATTCGAGCTTTAGACGGGCCGATGGATTGAGTCTCGGGTCAGGCCGGTGGGCCTGGGCCTAGCCTCGAGCTTAGGTCGGGCTTGGGCGGGCCTGACCATTTTTTTTAATTATTTTTAATTTTTTCTACCAAAATTTTATTATTTTCCACAAAAAATGACATTGCGCCTCGGGCGGGCTGGGCCTCGAACCGAGCCTTGAATGGGCCTTAAGCGCGCTGATGGGCCGGGCCAGGCTTCAAAGTAATGGCCTAGGCCCTAGCCTAGGGTCTCGGACATGCTTGGGCCCGGACCCAAACGAGCTTGCCCCGGGCCGTAGGTAGGCTTCGGGCAGCCCACGGGTCGCGGGCCAATTCTACATTCTTATCAATGTGCATGTTAACATGTCAATGTAAATATTCACATTGTCAACGGGCCGGGTCAGGCCTACCCCGGGCCGCGGGCAAATTTTACACTCCTATCAATGTTAATGTTACACATGTCAATGTGAATATTCACATTGTCATGGGTCGGGCCAAGCCTGCCTTGGCTGCGGTCGAGCTTCGGGCCGTCCACGGGCTGCGAGCAAATTTTACACTCTTATCAATGTGAATGTTAACATGTCAATATGAATATTCACATTATCAACGGGCCGGGTCGGGCCGGGTCGGGCCCGCCCTGGGCCGCTGGCCAATTTTATACTCTTATCAATGTGAATGTTAACATGTCAATGTGAATATTTACATTATCAACAGGCCGGGCCGGGCCTGCCCCGGGCCGCCCACGGGTCGTGGGTGGGTTTTGGGCAGCCACGAGGCGTGGGCTAATTTTACACTCCTGTCAATGTGAATGTTAACATGTCAATGTGAATATTCACATTGTCAACGGGTCGGGCTGGGCCGGCCCCGGGCCACGGGTGGGCTTTTGGCCGCCCATGGGCCGCGGGCCAATTTTGTACTCTTATCAATGTGAATGTTAACATGTCAATGTGAATATTCACATTGTCAACGGACCGGATCGGGCCCACCCGGGCTGTTCATGGGCCACGGGCGGGTTTCGCGCCGCCACGGAACCCGGGCCAATTTCACACTCTTATTAATGTGAATGTTAACATATCAATGTGAATATTCACATTATTAATGGGTCGAGCCTGCCTCGGCCCGATTCGAATTTTTTCGGGCACCGATGAGAATCGACATGAGCCGAGCCCCTACACATTGACAATATGAACATTCACATTGACGGCGTGAACATTCACATTAGGGGTATTTTGGTAATTATGTCGTCTATAGGACTTACTGAAACGTAAGAAAATAATGTGAACTAAATGGAACATAAGTAGATGAAAAGGATATTTTGGTCTTCTTATCTTAAATATGACCTAATGGAATAGTAAAAAAGAATATGAATTGGATGGAATAAAACTCTTAGAAAGTGAATTTATCAAAAAAAAACTCCCAAAATAATTATAAAAAAACAAAAAACATACGAGACATTTTATTGCTTTTAGAAAAAAACATTGCGTGACACACTTATATGAGACATTTGATAAAATTTTTAATAAAATTTTTTTGAAACCCTAACATTTTTGAAATAAAGAAAGGCAGAGTGCATTGAAAATGGGGCAGCCTGTAATTGTCCTTATTTTAGTAGCCAACAACAGCGATTCTGTGTCTGTCTTTCCATTCCTTCATTATTACAACACGCATTCCTTTTTGTAGTGTATGTTGTGTGTGTGTGTTTGTGTGGAGAGCCCTAAAGCTAATCCATGTTTCTATCAGTGTATTTGGGTTTTGCGGTGTGTTTTTAAATTTTGAATTACGTTTATCTAGTTGTACGGTTAGGGTTTGTTTGGGTGGTTTACGCTGCTTGCTGGGTCAAGAGGTAGCAATGAATCAATCATATTTTTCAGCGACAGCTCAGACTTAATATTAATTTGGGGATTTTTGATTTAATTTGTTGGGTTGGGTTGGGTTTGGTTTGGGGCATTCGAACAATAATAATGTGGTGAAGTTGGAAGCAGGTAGGGTATTTGGATTCGATTTGCAGGTGGGAATTTTCTTCTTTGAGTTCTTCTGACACGCGAAGAAACACAAAATGGCAAACATGGAGTTGCAGATGAGCCCCCAGTTGGAGCAGATCCACGGCGAAATTCGTGACAACTTTCGAGCTCTCGCGTATGTCCCTTTCTCTCTCTCTCTCTCTCTCTCTCTCATTCTATACTACATATATGTAACAACTATATACACTTAAATACACAAACACACACACACACACACACCTACAATACACATTGCGTTCTCAAAGCAACTACTAGTTGTTTGATTTGTGTTATTTCAACTTTTTCCTGGACTGGAGATTTATAATTATTGCATTCGTGTTTGATAAGTTACGAGATCAAATTCCTTTCTGGTTTCCCTGGAAAAGTGTTTTTTTTTTTTGTAATTTTGAACTAGTATTAATCTTCCCTTCCTTTTATATTTAAAAATAAAAATATGTTCAGTTGCCCACATTTAGGACTTGATTATGACAATAAATAAATAAATAAATCCCCAGCTTAATGCAATTATTTGGTTATTTGGGTTGTATTTTCCATGTACGAGAGACACCCAATTATTAGTAGATTAAAACTACTACTACTTCTTCTTCTTCTTCTTCTTCTTCTTCTTCTTCTTCTTCTTCTTCTTCCTCAGCAACCAAATGTAGGGTAAGCATATATGTAGCTCTCTCTCTCTCTCTCTAATTGACTGCCAATGCTGGATAGGGGTGTGTAGTGTAGGGTTTGTTTATCAGACACATCTAGATTATTTTTTCAAACGGGATTGATAAGGAAGGAAGGAGTGTATCAACATCGTGGTAAGCTTTCTCTTGGGAGTTAAATCCGATGGATAAATTGAACCCAGGATTGCTTTTGTTTGTCAATCAAACATTCAATCATTTAGGATCAGAACTCGTTCCGAGGTTGAATGGGTTATTCTATTTTGGATCTACTTTGGTGCCTTTCCAAGGTTAGGGTAAGAGCTTGTGTTATTATTATAGGAAACTCACGAGTTTTAATTGTTGTCCATATTAGCAGAAATAATTCCTTTTTGGAACTTGTCATTATTCTTTAGAGCTTACTTTCCATCTATTTTCTTTTCCTTTTTGGCCACTTAATTTCATTGAGTCTTTTATAAGTTAGCTAGCGGCCAGATACATTACAACTTACAAGACTGAGCTCGTTATGATGACAATGATTGTTACCTGCGTGTATTCAGAAATGGCTTCCAGAAGCTGGATAAGATTAAAGACTCCAATAGACAAAGTAAACAGCTGGAGGAACTTACAGGGAGGATGAGGGAATGTAAAAGGTATGGCATGTGTCATCTTCTACTATCTTTTCACTATTCTATACTTGTATTTGCATGCATTGGTTTTGAAATATGCAATAATGACATTTATTATTTTTCTCTTGGACCATAACTTTTGAGGCCTCATTTGGGAAGGCTTTGTTTTAGCCAAAAAGTTACTAAATTAGCCAAAAAGCCAACAACCCATACCAAAAAGTCAAAGATTCTCTTTTCTCTCTACTTTTTGCACATCTTTTCGTAATTAGTCAAAAAATCATCCCAAACATACTAGTTTTTTTTAGCTCATATTTTAGCTAAATAGCCAAAAAGTTACTAAATTAGCCTGTTTCCAAACGAGGCCTGAGTTTTGATCCCAAGAGAAGGGAAAACATAGAAATGGGAAATTAATGCATCAAACACTCTATACTCTACAAAAACTCTTAATGACTCTCTGCAGTGCTAGACTATGAGCTGTGAGCTCAATAGTGATTGTGGCTCTTAAGAAATTCCTGTTCTATCAATAAAGACAATTTGGTCTTTGGCATACAATAATGTATTAACAATTTAGTGTGTTAGTCTTAAAAGATTGTAATAGTGTAGAAATGAATGACGTTGTTTGGGAATTAATCTTACCAATCGTGAGTGCTTGGTTTTGTCTACTTGTTATTTTGTAAATTAATACCTTTTGGATGAAAGTTGTGTAGATTTTTTATTCTATTGCATTTTGTGGATCAATTTTACATGTTGGGTATTGTTTGCAGATTAATCAAAGAGTTTGATCGTGAAATTAAAGATGAGGAAAGTAGAAATCCTCCTGAGGTTAACAAGCAACTTAATGATGAGAAGCAATCCATGGTAAGTTTGTGGGAGGCCATTACATTTCCGAATTATACAATTTGAGCTTGCACATGAATTGTGAACACACATGTATGTGTACAACTTCAATATGTTGGAAATTTGGGTCCAACTAAATTGTTACATATTTTTTAATCCCAACAGGAAACTGCTAGGGTGCAATTTGGACGGGTTTGGTCAGGCTGAGGGCTTGTCTAGGCCCGACCCGAATTGTGAATAGAGTTGCTCAGTCCTAACCTCCAAACCTGAAGTGCGCAGCCCATGCGCAACCCAAGCTCATAATTTATTGAGCTTGGTTTAGGCTTAGTTTACACACAAAATTTGGGCTATGTTGTTTATAATTAAAATTTTGGATTTTTTTGGTGCTATTAGTAAAATTTAGCCCTAGCTCGGACCTAATTCAAATTTACACTGCCCAAGCTTGAAAATTTGCGGGTCGGGCTAGGTTGGTCCCACCCAAGTTGTACTCGTAAGTATTGTAATTTGAGATCTCCTTTAGTTTGTATCGTGCAAGTTTCCATCCAATCTCTATGCAAAGATTTCCATTTTTCAACAACTCTTTTGATGATCGTGTTCAATGTATGTCTAGCTGTCCTGGATTGCCATTGATTCTGAAAATAGTATATGATGCTGTTTTGTCCTCATACTGGAATTCCAAGTAGATGCAATATTTGATCATTAATGCACAGCACTTGACCATTAATATGTACTTTTGCAATGTCTAAATGTTTTTGAGAGTCTGATCTACTTTTAGTTTTAACAAATTTAATGCTACATACGTTTAAGCTGCTTGACATGTGATATATTTTGGTCTTTTATCTAGGTAATTAGTTGTATCGGGCACTTTTTGCATCAGCTTTAAATCTAACACTTTAAATCATTTTACTTCAAAGGATCCAGTCATCTGCTTTCAGGTCCATTCTGTTAACTGATTATTTATAATACTTGACGGGAAATTTGATCTCGCTTCTTAGCCATTTAGAAAAAGTCCTGCCCTGTTCCTAAGGTTCAGAATAGTGACCTATTATCCAACAAGAAAACAGTTGTTGCATAGCCTGCATGACCAAGAACACTTGGTTTTATTGCCTATCAGTGAAGAGCTCTCTCTCTCTCTCACACACACACACACACACTACGTGCACCCTAATGCACATACATCCATATTTCCACACTTGTCTGAAATTGTTCTGAGTTTCTGTTTGTGACCATCTCTTCTATTTTTTCTTGCAGATCAAAGAGCTGAATTCATATGTGGCCTTGAGAAAAACGTGAGTTCGTTTGTTTAATATAGGGTTAATTACATGATGACCCCCTCAACTATTAGTGAATATCACATTGCCCACCTCATCTATGAACCCGGACATATTGACCCCCTCAACTATGAAAACTGTATAAATACATCCCTTTGGAGGTGGCGAAAGTGATTTAAAAATTGCCCTGGTTCATAGATGAGGGGGCAAAGTGAAATTCGCTAATAGCTAATGGGGTCTTGATGTAATTAACCCTTCAATTTATTTTCCTATTAGATCACAAATTTGTGCTGCCTATCAAATAATGCCTTTTACTCAATGCTTGTGTTCTGAAGTCCAGTGGTCGTTTTTGAATGATATTATGGTTGACTCATTGAAGTTTGGAAATTATTTCAGGGTTGCAGTTATAATTTAGCCAAATATTTTAAGGCCAAGGAAAAGAAGATATAAAAGACTCAAATCTCTTTCTCTCTCTCTCTCTCTCTCTCTATATATATATATATCTTTTTTTGTTGTAGATTTTAATTTTTGACATTTTGTAAGGTTATTGATTTGTTGATAACTCATCTAGCACATGATAGACACGTAAGTTATTCTGCTGAAATTTACTGATTGGCAATGGTGCTGTTCTGATTTAAATTTTCTGGTTGATTCATGAAGATTGAATACTAGTGAATTCCATGCTTATTGGCTTGAAGTAATAGTGTTATCTTTGCCCTGTTGTGAGAAATGATAGCATGGCCATTGTGTTACTTTATTGTCAAGGAAAATGGTTATGTAATCAAGGAGAGAGGCTGCGAGAATGGAACAAAGTCGTGAAACCAATACACGACTTCATTGACATAATGTGGAAAATAGCTAAATGTCATTGTGGGATGGAATCATGACTTAAATGGAGCTGAGGAAGCAAAGTCATGTTTTGAAAACACAATGTCAAAAATACCTGAGCTTGGGAATAATTTGAGGCAATGCTTGGGTTTGGGAATTAAGTTTTAAAATAACCTGGATTTGGTAAAAAAAACTCCACAATATCCATTTAGAAGTGGAACCATGATAACAAGCATCTGGGTTGTGGTACAATACCAATTAGATGGTGCTTATTCTTTGAGTAATCTAAGTGGCAATGCACCATCTTTGTGAGTGATTTTACATCCTTATCATCATCTGCGACGTTTCCATATTACGTGTTTTACCCATCTTCATCTTGAAGCTGATAATTTATCCTATTTGTTGGTATGGCAGGTATATGAGCAGCCTTGGCAATAAGAGGGTTGAACTCTTCGATATGGGAGCAGGCGTTAGTGATCCTACTGCTGATGATAATGTCCAAATGGCATCAGGTGAGATCAGGATTTTCTTTGTTTCTGCAACTGAACAATTTGTTGTGCGTGAGTTATTTGGAAAACCAAAAGCTGCCAACACGTTTCATGATTCTCGTTTCTGTTGTTATTGAATGCCTGTCATATGATATGTGCCTTCTTTGAAGCATGGACATGGGACACGACACGTACACGTGGACATGCAAATTTTTTAAAAATGGTGCACGCTCAATATATATAATTTTTTTTTATTTATTGTATGTAAAATTAAAAAAAATATATTATTTATTTATTTACTTTAATATCAAATATCATTCCCAATTTTTTTCTACAAATAAAAATAATTTATTCTATACGTTAATGTTTAGCAAACAAGAATATTAAAAAATATAGAAAAAAAAATAAAAGAGGGGGAAAAAAGGTGTTTTTTTTATTACTAAGTGCAAAAAAGTAAAAAAAAGAAAAAAAAATAAAGAATAAAATAGGGAGAGAGCAAGGTTCTAAAAAGCGGTTGCAGTCGCCGTAACGGTGGCGGTGACGGTGGAGGTGGTGCGGTTACGGTTACGGTTGTAGGGTGTAAAGGCCGTAGCGTAACGGTTGCGGTAACCGGAACTGTGAATTTTTTTATTTTTCGCACAATTTGAAAAAAAAACTTATCGATGCGCATATTTTTTTTTCATAATCATATTTATTGGGTTTTAAAATAAATATTTATCAATTTTTGTAAATTTTTAAGTATGATCCAATATATTTCATATTTTAAAATTACTATAAACTGAGTTTTTTACATTTTATTTTAATAATTAATGACTTTATATTATATAAAAAATCAATCACTAACTATTATATATAAGATAAATAATGACAAAAGTAAGAGAATAAATAAAAGCCTAAATATTTATATATATATATATATATATTTTAATCAAACCAAATAGATAATAAGCACACTTATTATTATTATTATTATTATTATTATTATTATCATTATTATTGTTATTGTTTTCAAACAATATATAGATAGACATAAACAAACAAACAAAATGGTTGAGTGATAGTAGCTAAATAGAATAGCATAGGTTTTACAGCTTCAATAAATCAATAACATGTTTTTCATCTTCCCTCTTCTCTCTCTATCTCTTGTTCCTCCATCTTTCCTTTTTATCTTCCCTTTTCTCTCTCTATACCTCTTCCTCCATTTTCAATTTTTTTTTGTGTGTTTTTTCAAAAGAAGAGTTCGGAACCGTTACGTAATGGTGCGTAATAGGCCGTTACGGCTATTAGGCACCGTTATGACCGCTACGGCGGACACACCTGTGAATCTCAATCACACTGCAAAAGCGGCCATAACGGGTGGCGGTAACCACCACAACCGTTATGTAACGGTGTTACGTAACAGTTGCGACCGTTTTTTAAAACCTTGGGAGAGAGAAACAATAACACGAAGAGGGGAGAGAGAGAGAGAGTCAAACAAAAAATGAGAGAGAGCGAACAAGAGAGATGAACAGAGAGACAGATACGAAAGAAACGAAGAACAGAGGGAGAGAGAGAATTGAAGAAGATGAATTTGTTCGATGATGTACAGAGAGCACCGAACAGAGGGAGAGAGAGAGAGAGAGAGAGAGAGAGAGTCAAACAGGTTCTCTGTTTTCAACATGTCCAAGAGTGTCCAAAAGAGTGTCAGGCTGCAAAAATTCAAAAAAAAAAAAGAGGACGCATTAGGTAGAGTGTCGGACACGTGTCCGACACCCATACATTGCCTCCGGAGAGGTGTCTGTGCTTCATAGGGGGTGTTTGGTGGAGCTTTTTTAAGCCAACTTATGGCTTCTGGCTTTTAAAAAGTTATTTTGGACTGTTTGGTTAAACTTATTTCAAACAGCTTCTGATTCTAACAACTTATTTTAAGTCAAAAAAGCTGATTCTGAGAAGCTGCTCACCCCTTGCTTCTGATTATCAGCTTCTGCTGTGGACATGTTAATTCACGGTTATACTCTTAGATTTTTTTATTTTTTATTTTTTTAAAAATAGAAAAAGACTCAAATGGACTATTAAATATTATTATTATTTTTTATGAAAAATGTAGACAAATAGTGAATAATAAAAAATAAAAATTAATTGAAAAAGCTACTTCACAGCTTATTTAACAAACACTACTCAGCAACTTAAATCTATAATCCAACAGCTATACCAAACAGATTAATAGCTTCTGATTAAAGTCATAATCTATAATCTGTTAAGCTATAATCTATAATCCATTTTAACAGCTACACCAAACAGCACCATAGTGTGCCTTTTTTGCTTCTATTGTTGTTTCATTTCCTGCATAGAAGAGCAATCCTTAGGTTCTATAAACTTCAAATTCATATAATACTAGCTTTGAGATCATCTGCTATTAAGAACTCATTGGTGGTAGAATCATATTAGACTTGTACGTGAAGCATTATGTGATTTATAGTCAAGTTTTGCAATTTCAGAGTTATACTTTTTCCTCTCGTTTTTTCTTTTTTGAAATGTTACCCAATAAGAATGGGCTACCTCGTTACCAACTTAAACCTTAAGTTCATATGTATTTAACGTAATGTTGAATTTTGTGATTTTATCAACATGATAAATAGTCGGTCTCTTGTCATTCTGCAAGAAGTGATGGATGGTTGCTGGTACTTAAAACCCCAAACTTGGTGGAAGAATGTTTTGATTCTTTGAAAAATACCTTTTGAATTTTTTAATACTCATTTTTAGTGTTCTTTAAAAATAAAATAAAAAATCAACTTTTGCTTTAGTGGGATTCTGCCTGATTTTAAATTGTTCTTGTGTTTGTTTCATTTATTTTCTTAATATTTTAAGCATTTATTTTCTAGTTTCTCCTATATTACCTTATTCTTTTCCCAAATTTTGGCATTTTCCTATGGAAGTAGTTTACTTTTTTTTCTCTTTTTTCTTTTCCCCCTTCTTTTTGTTTCTTCAAAGCATATAGATATAACTTAGAATGTGGCACTGTTTCTCATTTTCATGGATTGTCTTGTAGCAATGTCAAACCAGGAGCTTATTAATGCTGGGATGAAGACAATGAATGAGACTGATCAAGCAATCGAACGCTCCAAACAGGTGAGCAGTTTAACTTTAAAACATGTTATTTGCTTAAATATTGTCATGAAGTGACTTTGCCTATAAAATCTAAGTAAAAAAATTGTGTTCTAAACTTGAGATTGACCCATAGGTTGTTGAACAAACTATTGAAGTGGGAACCCAAACTGCCGTTACATTGAAGGGTCAAGTGAGTATGGATCGCCAACCATCTCTATTTTTGTTGACCATGCTCTGTTTCTGTGTCTAATTTTTGTTCTCTCTCAAATCCTGAATTGTGCAGACTGAACAAATGGGTCGGATTGTTAACGAGCTGGACACAATTCAGTTCTCTATCAAGAAAGCCTCCCAGCTTGTGAAGGAGATTGGTAGGCAGGTTGGCCTGTTGTTTGCCCATAACTTCAACTTTATTCAATATTATTATTCTTGTTCACCGACTAAATTGCAAATGTTTTCCAGGTGGCTACAGATAAATGCATCATGCTTTTCCTGTTTCTCATTGTCTGTGGTGTGGTTGCTATAATTATTGTTAAGGTATTTTCTCCAATTCTTCCACTTGTTGCCCTCGATTTTGTCTTGTTAATTTAACTACCTTGTCATTTTCTAGGTGGACAAAGGCCCCAGAAAATAGAAATACAAAAATAAGAGGAGGAAAAAAAAAGGAAAAATGGAAGTGAACCATGAAGTTTCTTTCTAAGTGTATATAGTCATGCTAAGGTGAAAATATGAATTGTGATTGGGGAATATTTGTGGCAAGTCCCTAGGATCTTTGGTTGGTTCTATGAGGTTTTCTTTCTTTGCTCTTTGTGGGCAAGCTTCTATACACACACACATATAGACATGGATAAGTAAATGTTCAAATCAGACAGAATTTGAAGTTGCAAGGCATTTTTAATTTAGTCATTAAATAGCATGCCCATGTTAACAGGAAGGATGGTAATTTTTGTCAAATTGTTGGGATATTGCTAAGCTTTGAACAAACTATGGGAGGGTTCCACACCACTTACCTATGTATGGGTGTGTACTTAATAGTGCTCAATTAGTGGTCAACTTGTGCATAATGTTTGAGTGCATTAACTATCTCAGGAGCTCTTTTGCATATTTCCACCTAGTTCACTGCACCATGCCACCTATATTATTGCCAGTTTAATATGTTTCATTTCAATTTTTAGTCTTAACTATAATTCTTAAACTTTCAGATTGTGAATCCCAACAACAAAAGCATCAGGGACATCCCTGGATTGGCTCCTCCAGCTCCCACTAGGAGATTGTTATAGCTGGGGAAAGTTTCAAGTGAATTCATCATCTGAAATGGGGGTAGTTATTCCATCAAGTCATGCTTCACGTTGTGGGTGGAGATGATGGGAAAGAAGATGAAAGTTCCGTTGGTTGTGGTCATTTGTGGTTTTCCACATTAATCCATTCTTGCATGAGATGTGCATATCATGTTTGTGACTTCCTTTATATGTAAATCATATGTGAGGTTTGTTCATACAATTAACCTTTTTGCATTTTTTTTTTTTTGGTAATGCGTCGGTTCTTTCTGTAAACCTTTTGTAATGCCAGAAAGAGGTAATATACTTGATTTCTACCATGAAACTGAGTATCTGTTCTGATCATATATGGGGTGTCAATGGAGTTGTCAGTATTGCCATGATTTTAAAAGTGCATGTGTTCTCTCCCTCTCTTTAGTTGTTTTTACTGGTCTTTGTTTTTTTCAGAGTTGTCTGCCTTTTCACTGCAACCCCCACTGACCTCTTCAATAGAAAATTTCTGGCAACACTTTTATGTCAAGCAATAGAAAACAGCAGTGCTAGGGGCATAAAATTGTGATACCACACTTTTCATTTTCGGGTGCATTCTCTGCCAAAATTTGTGCTAGTTTTATTTGGCATAAAATGTGCAACCAAGACGGGTTCATTTTAACTAAAAAAAAGTATGTACATTGGAAATTTAAGAGATACTTCTTCAAAAGATCAAATAGCATGTCTTTTCATCAGTTTTCCAGGAGTCTGTTTGAGGTATAGGAATGCTCAAGCACTGCCTTGGATACCTGCTGGCTTTCGATTATCAAACAATACCCAATCAATCAAAAGCGTTTTTAACTCAAAATTTACCTAAAAACCAAAATAAAATACAACAGAATAAAATCCGGAGTTAGATCAAGATCAAAGCCGTGAATATATTATAGTTATCGTGTTCATCCAAGACACTACCGGCAGTCAGAAAGCCTGTTAAGCATATCATGAAATATTGACCTTAGATTTCTGCGCGACAGTTATTTCCCACAAAAAAAAAAAATTAAAAAAAAAAGATTTCTACACAATCTAATAGGACATAAGTATACACTTGCGCCTCTCTCTCTCTCTCTCTCACAAGGAAAAGTTTCTCTGATGTTAATCTACATTAGATCCACCACAGTTACACACCATGGCTGCTAAGCTGTGTTCGTCCAATATGAGATAACCTTGACAAAGGAATTAGAGGTACCTCTTCATCTACATTTAGTAGATCAGAGCCAGAATTATTCCCTCCACTACTTCCTCTATTGTTATCATTGCTGCTATCTGATCTAAGTATGTCAGAGGACTTCTCACTCTTCCAGTCCTGTATTCAACGACAACAAAAGAAAAAAAAACCAAACCTTAACTTGAGAAAGGAGATGGTGTCTGTCAACTTACTTCAAATTAGAGCACTAACCTATATCATATATAGAATGCAAGAAAAGCTGACCTTTGTGATTCTTTCTGGAATGCTATCAGCGGGAAGCTGAGATGAGCGAACATCCTGCACCTTCAAGTAGTTGTACATCACAACACCACATAGTGCTGCAGAAAACAGATATATTAATATTTCAAAGTTAAAACTGTACAAAAATGTGATTGTGATTAAAATATAGAAATATACCAATTGCATAGCCAATAATATTCAGCCCAGTAATGGTTGACTCCGGAAATACAACAGTTGAAAGGGCTATCAGTATCCAATCTTTCAGAACACCAGCAACTCGAATGGTAACTGCTCCAGTTCTACCGATCACTAAGAAAATAGAGAAGTTCAATGCTAAAGCACAGATAGCGTTGGAGAAAAAGATCCAGAAATTGAACTGGATCTGTGAAACTTCCATCCCGGGATTCTCGAGGAAAAACCAAGGTACAAATAGAAACATGAAACTGCACAAGGAAAATTGAGAGTGAAAAAGCAAGAATTGTACTACTGTAAACACCAACTAAATGACGTACTAACAAGCTGGGTGTACCTACTACACAAAGGTTTGCTACAAACAAGAACATGGCAAAACTATTACACATTTGCTTTATTAGCTAATGAAATTCATGCCTCCGGTGCTCAAGTAATAAGGAAAAAAGAAACTCAGTTGAATCAAAGTAAAGAATGAAAGACCAACCATACGTTGTTTTATATTGAAAAGAAATTGAAAATCAAACATTCATAATTAGTGTTTAGTGACAAATTGATCAGGTAATCAATAATTTACACAAAAGTTAAGATTCTAGGACTCTAGTAATTAATGGGCATCAGAGACAACGCCCATCTCACCAGCAGCCTAGAAATTACAATGTCCCAGATCAAATTTAATATTTATATGATGGTTCATCCTTCTAACATTTTGTTAATCAAATTCAGTAAACTACAGAGTGATGCTTATCTAACAAATAAAAATACAGACAAATGTCCAAGAGCATATAATTGGATACCTGCATGGAGCTATGTAATATAAGCTGGTAATTGGATTCAGAGTCAAGCCCTTCTTTTGCAGGAGGACTTGAGTCAAAACCAGCCTCAGAGCCTCTGCAAAGATGCCCGTAACCTGGTAAACTGTGCCAACTACATTAAAATGAATTTCCCCATATGAGGAAACGACAACTCCAACACTGACCAGCACCATGTTCAAGAACACGTCCCACCTTAATTTGTCAGTGCCACATAAAACAGCCATGACAAATGTTGCCACCGGCACTGACATCCAGAATATTTAAGTAAGCAAACTTTTCATAAGATAAGAGACCATTGTTATGAAATTGAGGAAAAGATTTGCAATTAATTTGCACATACTTAGGGCTTTGAGCATCTGGATGAAGGCTACAGAGATATGCAAGTATGCAGTGTTACCAAACCTGTGGAAAGAAGTGCAATTAGGCAACAAATCTTATTCTTCTAAACATGAGTATAAAGCATGGCCCTCAAAATGGCCTTCATTGGTACAACAAATGGAAATTCTAATATTACCAAAAATCATTCACGAGAACTACCATTAATTACATGTTAACATTTTCCCTTTCTAATATATGATTGAACACCAGCGAGAAACACAGCATATACCCACACATAAAGAACTATAACATAATATTGCAACCCATCAAATGATTTTGCCACAAATTGATAGCTTACCACAGACTTGAAGCAAAGAAGGCACTTATGGGAATCACACATGTTGCATATCTGCAATTACCCAATAAAGAAAATTAAAAACAAATTCAAGGAAAAGAGAGTTGGAAAAATGAAAAGAGAACTAGGAAGTAATCACTTAAAATGTGAAACTAGATCTCTTACATTTCAAATGTCATTTTAACAGGAGAGACAACCTGCAGATACATTAGAAGAAAAAAAAAAGGGTTAAAATGAAAATAGCCAAATAACACAATAATATTAAAGTAAAAGGAGTAGTAATATTAAGTACTAAGAAGGAGCTACAAAATTCTTAAGGCAAATTGTTAAAATTGATGTATTATTGATTGATGTATGTTGTAAATTACAAATGGTGAGGGGCTCCTTATATAGGAGATGTAATGGAGTAGGTGGTAGTAGGTGGTAGTGGTAGGTGTGTAGTAGGTGGTAGTAGGTGGTGGTAGGTGTAGTAGATGATGGTAGGTTTTAACAGCCCCCCGCAAACTCAAGGGGGATAGGAACTAACCAACTTGAGTTTGGAGAGAGTAACAAAACAAGAAAATAATCTGAAAAATAAAAAATGGATAGGAGACACTGTATGGTCGTGTCAGACCGTTGTAGAAGACTATGGTTATGGCAGACCGATGTAGAAGACACTGGCTCGTGTCGGACCGATGTAGAAGACAGTTTATGGGGTCATGTCGGACCGTTGTAATAGAATTAGAAGAAGAATAGTGAAGTGGGTGCAATGTGCTGATGGTGTTGGGTGGAAAATAGTTTAAAATGGAAAAGTATATATAGAATTAGAAGAAGAATAGTGAAGTGGGTGGACCCAGGAGGTTCAATGCATGTGCTGAAGTATTTATTTATTTTATTTGGCTTCGGTAGAGTGGATCACATGGGTGAGGAATGATAATAAAAACAAAGGGGTTATTACCGAGGGAGGGCCATGTATAGTGCAAAATCCACCACTGGAGTAACAAATCAAGCTTCCTCTCCATTGGAAGAGATATATATGTAGTGAAATCATATCCTGAAAGGTTGGTTTCCAAAGCTGAACTGGTCTGTCTTCACTTTCTTCAACGTTGTCTTCTTCGTTGCAATTTCTTGGAATGGATTTGGTCCACCAAATTCTATCTGGGAGCACCTCACCTTCTTCCTTTTTCCCTTGTCGTATTCTTCATCCCATTCATCGCCTATGTACCCAATGCTAGCAGCATCTACACCACTTGATCCTGTAATCCGAGATTTCATCATGGTCTTTATAAACCGAAGCGGAGGCTGAGGCTTGGAAGCATAACAAACCAGTTGAAACCTCTTCGTTCTCTGAGAGCTTGTCGCTAAGAGCTGCAAATCTTGAAACACTCTGTAAACACTCTGTAACCAACCCTTCTCTGAAACACTCAGTAACCAATAACATGGCCTCGTCTTCCCGTTCAGCTACCCAGAATATGGCCTCTTCGTCCCGTGGTCTGCTCACTTTTTTTCCCGACCTCAACGAGTCAACAAGAGAGATAACTGGTGCGGTGGCCAGTGAACCTCAACCAAGCGCCTCTGGTTTTGCTCCGTTGAACTTTCCTATGCGGTCTGTGGAGCAAAGAATGGCAGGGCAAACGGATATTGAGGCCAATCAGTATACTTTGAAGTCATGTGTGGAGACCATGACGGCGGCCACAAACCTGTCGCACCGGCTGCAGAGTAGGACAAATGAGGTGCAGCAGTTAAACGCCCAACTGGCTTTGCTCCAGCGCATGTATAAGGATGCGCGAGCAGAGATAAGTGTGCTAAAGGCGAAAAATAAGGAGCTGAAGCGGAAGGCCACCGTGATGTTCCGATTTGGAGGGCCGCCATATGCTGCAGTGGAGGAGCAGGGAGTAGTGATCGTGCCCAGTGGAGTGGGAAACACGGAGGCAACACCGGCAAGGGCCGCCTAGGACGGAGGCAAGAAGAAAAGACCGGCGGCAGAGTAGAGAAGAAAAATCCCGCCTCTGGATGAGGTGGTTGGGTGTGGGTGTTTTTTTTTTTTTTTGGTATAAAATGGTGATCGGGGTGAGCCCCGACATGAATAAAATGAGTGCTGAATTGAAAAAATGTCTAAATTATAGTGGAGACTTGCTTTTCGTAGATTTAAGAAGCAAAAAAGAAAAAGAGATCCTTAAAGTAACATTATGTAGAAGCATGTTCTTTCTCCGAAAACCTTGCAGTCCATCTGACTAGCTTCAATGCAATTCACTTTACCATCGCTAAATTTGTTTTTCTTCTCAAAAAATAAATAAAAACAAAAGTGCTATGTCTACCATGATTAAACAAGGCAATACTGTGATTATGCAATTTCTTTCTTGCTTGTCCAAGCAAAAAACAAGAATGGAATAGAAAAAAATGGACCAAAACAAATTCATACATCAATAAGTAAGTCAATAGTACAAATTAAATAAGTCGAAACAACTATGTCTACTACTGTGGGCTTAAAAAAAATCAATTACAGCTGACGCATGAGGATAGCCCTCTTTGAAAAAATGTCCACGTTTTGAGTACAAGAAGTAATTACATGACCTGATTAAAAACCTTAGAACTCTGAACACACCTAGATATTCCTTGAGGCAGGGGTGTAGAAGATTTATTCCCTTGATTTTGCTGGCCATTTGGAAAATTTTGTATTTGAGTCTGGCCGACCTGTTGTTGGGACTGTTGAACTTGTTGCTGCAGCTGCATATTGGGGGATTCTGTTGTTGAAGATTTTGCAGCTGTGGCTTGATTGGCAGCATTTGGACCTTGTGGAAACTGCGGTTTTTCTGTTTGTTGAGGATAATTAGAATTCCGGTTTTGAAAGAACCGGTTAGAGTTGCCATAATTGTAAGAAGTCATCTGCTGAATCTTCTGAAGGACTTCTTCCACAGGAGGGGGAGGTCCAGGCAGTTTCGCATGCCTATAGCGGCAATCAGGACCATTTGGACAAAATCCCAACTTGTACCTGCGACAACAAAACTATAGCATCAGAATCATGTACATGCTCTTACTCGAATGAAGTAAAAAATTTCTCAAACTAATAAGAAAGCAGTATAAAATCCTCTGGATTGCAACATATGCATAACATTTTCTCTCCTTTTTTTTTTTATAATCAGGGATCCAGGTAAATACAACTAATCCTGAGACCCACGCAAAGCGCACCCTTTACACGAGTCAGGCAAATCTTGGGCTACACCGGCGGGCATGGCCCCAAAGGGATTGATAAGTGAATAACATATAAATCATGATGCTAGGTGAATAAGACTCAAGTTGAGGGGCTCCTTATATAGGAGATGTAGTGGAGTAGGTGGTAGTGGTAGGTGAGTGGCTCCTTATATAGGAGATGTAGTGGAGTAGGTGGTAGTGGTAGGTGAGTGGCTCCTTATATAGGAGATGTAGTGGAGTAGGTGGTAGTGGTAGGTGAGTGGCTCCTTATATAGGAGATGTAGTGGAGTAGGTGGTAGTGGTAGGTGAGTGGCTCCTTATATAGGAGATGTAGTGGAGTAGGTGGTAGTAGGTGGTAGTGGTAGGTGTGTAGTAGGTGGTAGTAGGTGGTGGTAGGTGTAGTAGGTGGAGTAGGTGATGGTAGGTTTTAACACAAATTGTGTTTATTCAGAATATAAGGCAAAAGGTATGTGAGCTTGGCTTGATGAAGCAACCAGTTGTACATCAGCCAGAACTGATTCTTATTGTGTAATGAACTATATGCAAGAATACAACGAGTACATAGACAACATAAATGAGTTTGTCAAACCATTGATTACGAAAGTAGTATTTGTTTAAGAAATTAAATTTTAAGCTAGTAGGTTTTTATTCATATCTTTTGAGAATTTGCATATCAGAATTTGTACCTTAAAAAAAAAAAAAAAAAGAACAATATCTGCAAAGGTTTAAATTAGAATTATCATTGATGGAAATGAAATTTAGGACAAGGCAAATGTAAATGAACTGAAGTAGCTAATTTTGCAGGAAAATCGGACTTGCAAAGGGGTTGCCATCAACTTAAATTAATGGTTGCACACTTGTTAGCCAAAGCTTTTACCAAGCATTGGCATCAGCATCAAGATTTTCCTCAAAACTACCACCTTAACCCACTGCCTTCCTTTGTTAGCAACTACATTTGAATCTTTAGCCATATATCACTACTTACTGGTGCTGACATTGTTTCTTTGTTGAAAAATGACAAACAATCTCAAATGATTTCCTCCAATGTTGCACCCAAACCCAATAAATGCTTCTATTCTGAAAAAACATTCATTTTAAAGCAATTCTCTATTGTAACTCCAGCATGAATCTCAGATGTAACACTTCCTACTCCACTCTACATGACTGTGTTTTTGCACTTCCTGGTTACTAGACACGCACTCCTAGTTCCCATTCAGACTCACTTTATGCTTCATTTTTTAAATCTCAATAACCCCACTTCAACCAAATTAGTTTTTATGCTCAACATGTTTGAGCCACACATTTCTGGCAGTTACACTTATCATTCAAAGCCACCTGATATATATTGCCATTGAAGAGTGATGATCAACCACCCACTAGTGTTACCTAAAACAAAATTAAAATGTGTTTTAATAATTTTCCTGTTTATTTCAAACTGCTGAATTTGATATGCAACAGAAGAAACAAAATTCAATCCATAAAATCAAAAACAAGAGCATCACTTTATAAAGCTCTGCATTTCTGATTCATTATTGACAACTTTAAGCACTCATGAGAAAGTTTAAGCTTGATTGAAAGTTTCAATGTCCCATACTGTTAAAGAATAAATCAACAGACATAGAAACTAAAGTGACAGGTACCTCTTTAAAAGACTAAAAGAGGATACAGTTGAAATGCAGATATAATAATCTATTTGCAACTCAGTTGGTAAACAAATTGCAAGTATGTTCAAGTTTCAGCTAAGCTATGTAAACCTACTAGTGTTATTTGGGAAGCCATACCTTGAAAACACGAACAAGAAAGAATGCTACTACTCCAGAAAATCCCATATGAATCATTGTCAGTGTTATTGGAAACGGGAAATTGAAGTACTTTGGAGAAAGAACCCACTGCAAGTATACACATTTTTAACATTAAAAACAAATAGGGGGACAACAGTTCAAGTTTCAGCTTAGCTATGTAAACCACTGCAATACAATAAGATACCAAATTAAGGCCCCACAGTTCTTGAAGGAACCAGTCAAGCCCAACAAGGGCCAAGCATTCCTTGTTTTTAGATGCTTGAGAGCAATTTACTTCAAGCATAAGCAGTAGCAGTTAAGAACATGAAGACTGTATGGTCTTAAGTCTTGACCTAAATCTTATCATGTATTCACATCCATAAAACTGGAGTATATTGCTGAAATCTCACAGTAGTTGGGGTCTTTAACCAAAGAGCAGATTATTCTAAATGCTAGAGAAAAGGAGTAAAGGATGGAGGAGACTCCAAAGCATTTTCTCTCTAATTTATCAAATATTGTAACTTAATATACTTTTAAAATTTCAACAGCAGGGTTATGTAATATACACACATATATGTACAATGGTCTAATCATGTGACAAGCATATTGATATTAATGGTAACTTCAACTTCATTCAAGGAAAATCTGGACTTAGAATTGTGGATGAACAAGTTCTTCTATATATGATCTTCCAGATTTTATAAGTTGTACTGCAGTATGTGCAGAGGGAAAAAAGGTAGAAAACAATAAAACTTTGTGTGTGTTTAAAGCTATTGGCAAAGTTTCAGCATGAGAATACATCTTGCCAGTGATGAGTCAACACATCATTTCACACATGTAGGAGCTTGTATGATACTATACTCTAGGATTTCAAAAGCTGTTGAAAAAACAATATATGGACCAAAATATCCTCCTCCATGCAATTTTGAAAGCAAAGTAAATCAATTCTGATCCAGTAATAGAGAATACAAATTTATATGTTGATTGTGTTGTGAATAAAGATGTTGAGATATGCTTAGACCATCTCCAACGGTTCATCAAACCTGATATCAAATTCAAAATTTGGTGAAAAAGCCACTTTTTTGAGCTCCAACGGTTGCACCAAATCGATATCAAATCCAGAATTCAGCAAATCTTTTACCAAAATGAAAACAGGCGAAGCATTTTACCAAATCACTGTTCCTCACTGTTCCTAACCGTTGGGAGAGACCAACCGGTCAACCAACCGGTTGCCCGGCCGGTTGACCAACCGGTCGACCGCCTAAAGGTTCAAACGGTTCGAAGAAAAGGTTCAAACAGTAAAAAAAAAAATTAAAATTAAAATTTTTATTTTGCCTAACCGGTCGACCAGCCGGTCGACCACTAAAAGGTTCAAAAAGTTCAAAAAAAAAAAAAAAAATTCGCTTAACCGGTCGACCGGCCAGTCGACCAACCGGTTGTCCCCGGCACAAATTTGATGAAAGTGCACCGTTGGAGCGAGTGGTATCAAATTTGATAAAATGGGTCATTTTTAACTCAAATTTGGTGAAAAATCTGATTCACCGTTGGAGATGCTCTTACCCCCCAAAAGAACAGCAAAATAGGTAAAGATGCTGAGATATGCAAATCAACCATTAATTTTCATTACCTTGTTATACAATATAACTCCAGATGAAAGAATAATGTAGATTAGTAAGTACAGATAGGTCAAGAGAAGTGATTTATTGATCATTTTCCCCATCCTTTTCTTTCACAAGGTGATGCTACTCTATCCTTGGCTCTAAACAATCTGAAAAGTGAGTCTTCCACCTGAAACAAAATATAAGATGATTCCAGGCATATCTAACCGCACATTCAGTACAGTTATCTAAATCCAGAGTTGGAATTCATCTCCAGGACTGTTTATAATCTTTATATTGACAATTTAAGCAGCTGTGGCCAGACTTCAGATATCTGCAATGGACACAAACCAGAAAATACAGATCACATGAACAATATATCCATAACATCACCTGGTAAAAATACAAGACTATCAAAGTTGCAGAGTAATTTCATAATCACAACGTGTGCAGAAAATGTACAAGACTATTAATAAAAGGAAATTCAAGGACAAATTTTGTATTTATGACTGCGCATGAGAAGCCAGCTTTGAAGACAAAGCAAAGGCACCATTTGAAATTTCAAATATAAATGGAAATTCAATCAGGAGCTGGAAAAAATAAATAAATAAATAAATAAAAAAAAGAGTAGCAGCCTTGAATCATAAATTTCTACTGCCGAAGCCAGAGGTCCTAATAATAGATCTAGGAGGCAGATACATAAAACAAAACCAAATGTATGACATGAACTCAAACTCCAGAAGTGATTCTTTTGGTTGCCACAAGATTCAAGTACAGACAGAAATTAGGTACCCATGTATTTTTTTATCAGCAAATAGTATCCATATATGACCGTGGATATTTGTTTTCCATTTTTGCTTCTTTCTTTTTTTTTTCTTTTTCTTTTCCTTGTAAGTATCCCTGAATATTGATTCCAATCATGTCAAGAATTCCTTTATAGCAAACCTTGGACAAAGGAACCTCTAACAAAAACAAAACTACATAGAGTAAAGTAAAGTTCCACATAACTGCTTTTGTATTCTCCAGAGTTCTGATATAACTGGGTGGTTGTGAAACAAGACAGAGATCACCTCCCTGGCAACGTCACCTTCGGGCAGGAGGCTAAACACATTAATATGATTGTTCTACTTTGAGATGAATGTGGCTGTGGTGATGCTGCCAATGGAACGTTTCAAGGGTTTGAATTGAGGTAAATGGAAGAGCTAATGACTAGCATGTTGCAAATGATGTCACCTAATAAACTGTCTTTAGGTTGCATTTTCTACTATCCTCGTATATACTCCATAGCCCGATGAGATCAATTACTTTGTTGTTTCATATTAGTAACTTCTGGCAGGGGAATTCAAGCAATCTCTTAAGAATGGCCAAGTCTATGTTAATGTTAATGTTACACACTCCTTAAAAGAGCGTGCATCATGTGCAAGTTATGCTCCAATGTGGTATTGGCTGCAAACAAAGTAGTGTTGGTTATGACTTGAAGTGGTGATGGGATGGGGTGCAGCTATGGTAAAACAAAGTTGGGTCAACTTTGGTTACGATCCAAAGTGATGTTTTGTTATGCTCCAAAATGGTGGGTTTTAGTTATGCCGAAAGTGGTCTTGGGTGGTAATGCCTCAAAGTGATATGTTGATTATATTATAACCAAATGCTAGAAGTGTATATGGTGTATGCACAAAACAAACTAATCCACATGAAATGCCTTTAAGATTTATTAATGTCCCTTAACTTGCATTACAACTCATATGATCAGCCTCTCTCACATTGTGCTTGCTTTCACACGATGAGGTTATTACTGGTGATAATTGAGAGAGTATCACTTAAAAGGCAACCAGGCAGCAATTTGCATCTAATAAATAATAAAATAAAATAAAAAATTGCATCTATATATACAGACACACATACAGACAGGGGACAGGTTGCATTTTTCATCTAGGGTTAGAACTGCAGGCATCAAGCGCCCCAACCAATCAATGGAACTCAGCTCCCAGATACACACATTCATATTATATATATATATATATATAGCGCCAGAGATATTATATATATATATATATAGCACCAGAGCAGATCCCACTAAAATGGCAAAAAATTAGGTAGTGAACTGAAACAGATTGAAACCAATGTGGCTTTGCCCAAGAAGAGCATAAAAAAAATTTTCTTTTTTAAAAAAAAGGTTAGAAATAAAATCCAGGTAGAAAAAGCAATATTTGAAGGTAGATTGAACTGGATTTTTACCTAAAACCAACTCCAAATCTGAAGACGAACCGTCCAACCGATTGCGTACTTGAAAGAGATCCCCCCCACTCCTTTTCTTTTAACACCGAACACAGAGAGAGAGAGAGAGAGAAGGAGAAGCTCTGTTGTCGTATAGATATATATATATATATATAATGAAAAGAAAGAGAAAGAGCAGTGAGTGAGTGTCAGTAGTGTGTTTTGAATAAGACAGTAGTGTAATGTAGAGTAGTAGAGTAGTAGTGTGAGAACTGATGAGGAGTAGCATCAATGTGGGATTGTGAGTGAATGAGTTTGGTTTAAGTCTTGAAAAAAAAATTTAAAGTTTTGTTTGGTTAGAAATCTTTTAAAAAAATTACTTTTTTTCTTACTTTCTTACTAATCAATCATTTTTTCTATCTACTCTCTCATTCTCAATCATTTTTTCTCTCATACATATTAAGAGTTATTTTGAAAAGTTGATAAAAAGTTGACTTTTGACTTTTTATCAAGCTTTTTAGCTTTTTGGAAAGTGATTTGAGAAGTTGGTAAAAAGTTGACTTTTGACCTTTTAGTTTAATATTTATTTATGATGTCAAATCAAATTAAAATGACTAAAATACCCTTACCCAACATAAGAAATTTATTTTTTTATTTTTTTGTCATAGGCTCTAATTTGTAATTTCACACTTTCGTTTTTATAACTTCCCAAATCAATTTTGTTGCGTTTTTGGCCACTTGCGTTTTTGGAAAATGATCAAAGCGTGGCTTTTTTCCAAAGTTCCCAAAATGGCACTCAACTACAACAAAATATCAAATTATCTCAAACTCTAAAATTATTTTCAAAATATACAACTAAACAAACCAAAAAAATTTCTAAACTTTCTCTTTATTTATTTATTTTTTTTTGAAAATTTATATAAAAACACAAACCAAACACACTCTAAATGTTTTAAAAATCATATCACTAAATGAGTGAATCGAAAAAGAGATTGGATGAATGAATTATTGGTTTAACTATCGAGTTAAATTAGAATTGAATTGCGATATCATAATTATTTTATAAATATTTTTATAATTTAAAAATAAATAAAATACATTTATTTAAAATATTTTTATAAATATATATATATATATATATATTCATCAAACATATATATTTATATATATTTTTATATTAATAATGTTTGTAAAAATATTAATTATACATGTGTTTGAAAGAAATTAGTTTGAATATAATTAATATTATATATTGAGTGCTGCTATTAGCACTTAATTAATTTTTTTGGACCCCTATATTTTACTTTTTTTTTATTACAATTATACATTGAAATAAAATTATGTTAAAAGACAACTTTTAATGGAACGTCTACCCACCAAATGAAAATAATTAAAATGATACTCTACAATATTGTACATCCACATCTATTCCCATCTATACATATTCCTTACCAATCTAAATCCTAATTGTATTCTTCTTCATCACCATTCTAAACTCACGTATTCATCTCCAATAAAAAAACATTTGAAACTGTCTAATTAGTTAACATTTTGTTCGGTAGTTTCAAATGTATTCAGTATTTCAAATCAATTAATGTTGCAAACAATCCCATTACAGACTCTGAGTTTCTACATCTGTGGTCATTTTCACTATTCGTTGGTACTTATAGAGTAATCACTACAACATTTTCTTAGTTTAGTAACATTTGAAAGTGTCACAAAATTATTGATTTAATAACATTTTTTAGTCTTGTGGCATTTTGAACAAGTACCATTTGTATCCATGCCACAGTAAATACTTGCAAGTGCCACTACACCATCATGGCTAAAAACTTTCAATGACATTTTGATATCATGGTACTATCAAGCGCCATTAAGAAAAGAGTTAGTGACACTTATAAGTGTCATTACACCATCAAGACTAAAACTTTTCAGTGACACTTTAATGTCATGGTAGACACTATTTGACGTTATCAAGTGTCATTTATGATGATAATTCGTTGTAGAACAATTTGATCCGCTCTTGCGGAGACTTGAACTGCCAACCTCCCACATCACACTGTTCCCACTATACCTTTATAGCACCACATAATTATATATGCAACATATATTATTTATATAGTACATATATCCATACTAATATAAAAGCATATGTATAAATATAATTATTTTATTGAACATAATTTATGTAAAATAAACTATTTACTAGCAAAATAAAAAAAGATCACTTTTGGCGACTAAAAATATTTTTTAGTCGCCAATTCTTTAGTTTTGGCAACTAATTATTTTTTAGTTGCTAAAAAACTTAACTTTTGCTGACCAAAGTCGGATTTGGTGGTCGAAGATGCACTTTCAGCTACCAAAATTTTGGTCGCCAAAAAATTTAATTCCCGCCTTAGGATTTTAGTTCTCCCGTTCTAAAAATGACCACTTTTGGCAACTAAACTTATTTTTTCGTCACCAATTGTAGACTTTTGGCTACTAAAATTTTTTTAGTCACCAAAAAACTTTATTTTTGGCTACTAAAATTTTTTTAGTCGGTAAAACCCATATAATCAGCGATCAAACTTAGTTTTAGTCGCCAATTGTAGACTTTTGGCTACTAAAATTGTTTAGTCCCCAAAAAGCATTACTTTTGACTACAAATGCTGTTTTGCTTGCTGATAGCTATACTTTCAGCAACCAAATTTTTTTTGGTCCGGAAATTTAGTCGCCGAATGTTCTTTTACCTGTAGTGTATATTGAGTTTAATTTATTTATTTTTAATCATTTACTGTATTTTAAAAATTTAGAAAATATATTGACATTTTTTGTTTTTTCAAAAATGCCATTATAAGCTTGGAAAGTTTTTGGCTTAGTGACATTTCTCAAAATGCTATAAAATATTTGTTTATGACACTTTTCACCTAAGTGCCATAAAAAAAAAATTTGCACCTGTTTAGTGTCCTAGCATTTTTTAAAAAATGCCATTGCTACTAAAGTTTAGTGGTATTTGTTGGTAAATATCACGAACATAATTTTTTGTGTCATTATTTTATAAAATGCCATAAAATTGACGTGACATTTCTTTATTGAAATGCTACTAGAGCCTTATATGTTTGTGGTTCTGTGGCATTTTTTTAAAACATTTAATGCCAATTTTTATTTTTGTGGCATTTTCTAAAAACATGCCACTGGTGTAGTGTCACTAAAGTGTAAATTTGTTATAGTGACATTTTTGTTGTGGTGAAGTGACACTTTTTTTAATTGAAATGCCACTAGAGCCTTGTTTGTTTGTGGCTCTATGACATTTTTCTAAAAAATGCCACCAAATATTCTTTTTGTGACATTTTTTAAGAAGATGTCACTAGTATGGTGTCACTAAAATGTGCTTTTGTTGTAGTGAATGGAGGATGATGACAACAACTCCAATGAGATTAGTGTTGCATTGGTAAATTTATGTATCCTACATTTTATTGGAGAATCTTCACTGTATTATGGATAAATTATGTTTGTCTACTTAACAACAAACTAAAGAAATAAAGAAAATAAGAGAGATTGTTTGATTACAAAAATCAAACCAGAATATAAAATAAATAAATAAAAACAAAATTTTATTTTATTACAAAAATAAAATCAAAATTTGAAACAGAAAAAATAATAAAACAGAAAGTAAATTAATTACTTACCATATTAATTTGTTGAACAAATTTTATTGATCAAGTCCAGTGTTTAACACCGTGTCCTTAAGATAGATTTGTCTTCTCCACGGTACTTTCAGATTGTGGATGTCTATCTCTCAGGATAAAATGATCAACTGCAAATAATAGCAACACTACAAATTATTTGCATAACGAATACACTTTGTGTATACACTCCACTCTTTCTCACAGAAAAATAAATGCAGCAAAATGCAGAGAGGGCAGGCAGAATTTGGGACGAAAATTGAGTGAAAAAACCAAGTGAGGGACTGCCTATTTATAGATGTAAAGGTGGTTGTACAGATTTGAATCTAACAGGTATGATTTGAATTTGAACAGGTAAGGCAATGTTTCAACAGATATGAACTATTTGGGTTTGAAATTTAAACAAATTTGAATCTGTCCGATTTATATTGGCCAAATATAGACTTGTGTGGGGTGGAGGGAAAACTGGACAAATTTCGAAATTAATTTCGAATTCTGGACAAATTTTATTTTACCAAAAATAAAATTAAATTCAAATCTTTTTTGCCCAAAAAAATAGGTATTGGGTCGGACAAGTCCAACCCAACCTCACACCATGTACCCACGCCCAACCCTAGCCCGATGAACAGCGGCAACACGCATGTTTATTTTTGGTCCAATGGATCTAGCCCAAAACTTCCCCCTTACAAAACTTGGGTGCCCCTTGAGGTTTACACCAAGTTCCAAACTCAAGCCTTAAAAACTCACTCAAAGTTTGCCCACCAAAATAATATGGGACAAGCCTTAAACCAAACTTTTAGGAAATTTCACCCAAAACACCATTTCCATGGAACTCTCTTTGGCTTCAATTTCCCATTCACCCGATAATAGTTTTGAGCAACCAAATATACCACGTGAATCACAGCACGGCATAAAAACACTTTACTACTTAGACCCGCTAACTTTAGCGTATGGGTCACATAAAAAATAGACTTAAGTTAAGGAAAAATCATACTTTCGAAAGCCATTTTCAGTAATACAGTGCTATTTCGAAAGCCATCAAGCTCTGGGTCATTTTCGTTCTAGGTTGTTTTCGGTTCGGTACCGATTTGCCGACAATTAAGATTTTGTTCAGTAATACAGTGCTGAACAAAAACATTTAGTTCAGTAATACAGTGCTATACATAAACATTTTGTTCGGCACTGGAATACCAAACGATTCCATTTTTTAGGATTTTTTCCCTATTTCTGTTTTTTCTTAAGATTTTTCCCTCTAAAACCCCTGTATGGAAGGTTTTATCCCGAAATTTAGAAAATATATATAATATGTGATGGGAAGTTGGAAGTTACCTAAAAGAATAAGAAAGAGGCCGTCGAAAAGATTTTCGACGAGATTTTTAACTGAGATACCATTATTCATGGTGACAAAGAGAAAGATACCATCATTTATGAAAGAAAGAGAAGAGAAGGGCAATCGATTCATCTTTCAATCGTTTGTTATTCTCAATCGTCTCACAATCGTTCATCGTTTACTGAGAGAATAAGAAGAGAGGGGTGTGCAAAATAACGTGGGTGTGCACTTGGGGTGTAATGATCTTATGAAT